AGCTTTCAAGTCTTTCTACCAAAACAATAATAAGTGAAAATCGATCGATATGTGAATAATACAAATAAGCGAAGAAGAGAGTCACATTCGGTCAAAGCGGATCTTGGTGCCTAATGATATTTTTGCGTGAATTTTTATAGTTTCCAGTCTATGCAAATTGCGCGCCGATTATACAGTGGAATAAATTTTCATCAACTTTTTGTTTCTTAACAAGTAATGGATATTTTTCGTAGGCGTTTCACACTAAAATATTCCATCGCCCTTTAATTTTTAGAAACTTCGCTTTGAATTTTTTACGTAATTACGAATAATACAAATTTGTAATTTTTACAATATGTGAAAATAAATGTGATGGTATAAAACCCCTTTTATTGTTTGAAATAATGTATATAAAATAATAAAATTTATTGGCAATATTTAATGTTAAAAGATTTATAAGATTTCTGTTTATCAACTAAATGATGATTCTTATATATTTTACTCCGTAAAAGAAAAAATTTAAACTATCTAAATTGTTTTTTTTTTAAATAAGAATCCTTAATATCTCAAAATCTGTAAGTGATGGAACCTTATATTTTTTCAATATCTAAAAATGTATATAAGAATCATCAGATGTTGAGAAATAAAAAATACAATTAAAATTACTTTAACTCATTGTAAAGAACACTTTAAATCATTGTAAACAATTTATTGCAAAAAATATCATCCCATTGGTATTATTACACAAAAAGAAAGATCTTGCTGAAATATCTAAAAATTTAGATAGATATATATCTGAAAATATATAATTCTGTTGGACCATTAAAATATTTATATAGGAATTCGAACAATTGATGAACGATGCTGCAAAAAATTTTTTTGGATTATTAAAAGACATTTTAATAATCAGCCTATATAACTATATAATTATTCTAATGATTTAATAAAATTATATTTAGATTTGTAGCTAAAATATATTAATAAAATAAATATATTAATAAAACCATTCTTTGTAGGTACCGACATTCATTTTAATTGAATATATGGCTCTCTGTTTCATTAATTTCTGTCAAAGCGTCATTACTTCCTTTCAACTTTTATATGAATTTTTGTCGTTTTCGATCATTATTTCCGTATCTTTTTGACTTCATCAATGGTGTAGTATTACTGTTGCCGCACATGCGAGCCATTCGAATTTGATATTGCGATTTCTTCGGCTTGAAGAATGTATCTCGGTGCAACTACGTGGGCACACAACTGCGGCGTTGTAATTAAGTCGATCTTTATTCGCGACCTTCCCGCTATTTGCGACTCGCGTAGTAATGGCAATTTTAAAGGCTCACAAGTGAATATATCGCGTTTATATAAGAACGGCGCGCCTTGTAATGTGCAATATCATATCAGTATATTGAGATTATGCTTGTGTTAAGTGTCTCGAAAATAGCGTAATTAAAAGATGCTAATTAGAATTTTTACATTTTATGCAACGCGATGGCGAATCGTTTGAAAATTCGATATAGACAAAAAAAACTTTCGAAACTATATCCTCGTCGTTGTTGGCAATTTTATGACCTTTCGGGATGGTAATTCGTGGCAATAATTACTCGCCTAATTTCTCTGCCTACTCGATTTGTTTAGCGCTGTGAACGTACGTTTCTAAAATTCTAAAATTCGTTAACTGCGCACTGAAAATGTCTACGAAGAAGAAATATGGTTGAACAAGAATACGCTACGTGATTTACCCGTAGCCGGGTTAACGAGCAGGGAATCGAGGAGATTCGAGATGCTAACATTTGCATTTATCTTAAAATGAACGTCTATGTTATTGATAGGCAGTGTGTCTTCGTAAATAGCAAGATCGTTTGCAGATTTTTACAGTCCATTGGCGCGATAACGAAGTCGCTACGCGCGTAGCATTAAATTTGTCGTGATATAGCGCTACCGTTGTCGGTTAATGTATTTCCTCATTTTTAAGACGTGATTCACATTTTCATGCGACGTGCCGTTAATTCATGAAGGTGTGAAACTGGTAACACGAATAAGATCTTGACTCTTGTAATTGTCTTGATTTACGTTTATATGTGAATATAAATGTCAGCTTTAGTGATGCATAAGGAACACGATGTTATGAACGCGTTACTCTGTCTCTGTATGTAATGATCAAATTATGCCATGAACGTTACCACTTTGACTGTAATTTCGTTTCAGCCTCGAACACGTCATCGAGAGAAAAATCAGCAATGGAGCAATTATGTCTCTCATAAAAGGCACCTGTTTCCTAAACGCGGACTCAGTCTTATTATACTCGCTAGAAAGTATATTTTCCGAATACAGAACCATTTTCTCTTTTCCCGCAAACACGTGTGATTTTTTTCTCCTTCAATCGGTCTCACTTCCGCAAAGGATGACTGATCCGCACAGTCATTTAGACTTATTGTTAGTAAATCTATGAATCTGAGCTCAGTACACTGCAAACACTCGCATACGTTTATACATTATATATCTATATACACGTTTTTATTATACATCTATACATATGTTTTTCTTGAGTGATGAAATGTGAAAACGAAAAAGTAAGATGTAATCAAATTTATAATATAAGTAATTAACAGTAACGCTTTTCAAATGTGAAATTGAAGAGCTTCTTACAGCTGTTTTCTTGGATCTAATCATTATGATTAACTTTTGAATCCACTTTGGGACATCGCTGATGATGGCTCGAACGGAGCCAAAACGCCATTTTGTTGTTTTTTATGTAAGGTTTCGAATAATACATTCGTTGATTATTACGCACGAATTACTGCGGTGATTATTACTTTCAATTGCCCGTCAATTAATATATATTTATCCTTTATTATACATATAATATAAGATAAGAAAAGTTAATTAAAATAAAGCTTTTTAGTTTTTACTTTATGTATTATCTTCAAAGATACCAGAAGGTTATCGCCGTGTTATCCATTGTTAATGCTAACATTTCGTCAATCTTACCATTTACTTTATTATTTAATCCTTAAGGCATATATTGATACCACCTTGATGTCAATAGTAACCAGTTGCAGCATTGTCTTTAATGATGAATATTTTCTGTAATTTGTTGTGTCTCTCTCTCTCTCTCTCCAATATCTATTATGTTATAATCAATCCTAAAGAAGCCCCTTGTTTTTACCATACATAAAATTAAGATTTCTTGTGATTTATAATAAACTAGTTAGCTGCAAAAATCTTTTTTTTTGTTATAACTGACACCACTTTCCCGTATTTCTCTTAATTAAAGGAAAAATAAATTAAATGCGCGAATATCTTTCTCACTAGAATTCCTAGATTGACGCGCGTCGAGAGCATAATTGGTGGACGTTGGCGGTGCGAGACAATGAGTTGTTGTATCCCGACAAAACCCTCTATTTTTTTATTATAAATATACGATTTATCTTATCTTTAGTTTAGTATCTCTAGTTTAGGTTTTGTAACCGTCTCTTTCTAAGAAGAGCCTATTCGGTTCCTCTTCTCGTAAACATTCGAAACAAACAGATAGCTTACGCTCCTACGCCTTATGCGTCACGTAGACAAAATACATCTAACCGATAATCTTTTCCGTTGAGAGCTTTTGTCCAGAAGAATGTTAAACAATAGTATATATATCCAATAATTAAGCAATATAGTAAGTACATAGTAAAAATTAAGATCTTCCAACTGCGAGGACGAATCTTTTATTTTTTCCTTTTATTAATGAAACTAAAATCTATTCAAGAATTACGAAGTATAAGATATAATGCCGGGAGTGGGGCTTGCCCCGAGCCCTGCTGCCCTAAGGAAAACAAGCGCGAGCATAGGTCTTATCAAATCTCAAGGAGTGCTGATTGGCCCTGAGAAAACACTCCCATGCTCATCTTGTAGTATAAAAGGAGCTGCCAAAGGCAGACACAAGCAGTAAGTGAGAAAAAACTAAGAGCGAAAGTAAAAGTACGAACTATTCTGGGTAAGAGCTATCCTCGCGCTAAACTTATTCCTCCGAAACTTATTCCTACATTGTAACCATTTTTCTTTATTAAACTTTATTATACTAAAACAATTCGGCTGAAACCTGGATCTCTTCTCTTCTCCGAATTCATTAACATACGAGTATCCGAGAACGGTGTGACTGTCGCTGCCAATAGCGTGGCCCCCGTTTAACTACAATTTTTCGGATCTACGATAATTATTTCGGGTTATTTTCATGTCTACCAAAGGCGGACGTAGAAAAAAAGAGAAGAGATTAAGGTATCAAATCAAAACAACAATTGATTCAAACCACGATCCTTTCCCTCACTTCCAGAAATTGCCGCAGTTACTAAACCAGAAAAAAACGGTAACCTCACCTAATAAAAACGGGTATTCCCTCCAACCGTTGGAGATCACTTAACGATTTCTCGACTATCGAGATATTAAAAAGGGTGATCCGCATAAACTAGCCTACAAGCTACGCGAGCTTTTCAGCACCGGCTTCGAGATTACCCTCCCTGGCAATTATCCTACTCTCCCCACCGAATCCTAATCGCACACTTGATCTCCTAACCCCGGGGTAAATTGCTTCAATGCATTGACCCCAAAACAGGAACGTAAAATCGCGAAATAAAAAAAACTCAATTCGGACGTAACAGCGTACATACATCAATCGCTCTGGCGGCTGCACTGTCTCGCGATCTATTAGTATTTCTACAGGTCTATTTTTTTCACCGCAAGGTCGATAATTATTACTGAATCAAAGGGGACGACAATGTTGCAGGTGCATGATGAATCTTTCCTCCTCAAAGCTGTTTCTTTTATGTATGTAGTTGTGCATACCGCCTCTCTCGATGTCGAGAGGTCGGACCGAAGGTCTTGTCCCGAGATTACGGAGACATTTCCGCGCGAATCCAAGCACAGAGATAAAAACTATGTAAACTATTACACAATTTTTGATAAAACAAGAAAAATAATGTTTCTGGTTACTTTATATCTCTTTCAAAAAAAAGCGACAAGTATCTGCATGGAAAGAAAGATTTGTTTCTATTTTTGTTTGTATTAATTTTGCAAAACAGGAACAAATCGTAGACGAAGTGGATGAGGACGAATTACGATATCAGCCTGGAATCGAACATCCTTTATGTAATCGACGGGTTCCAAGTAGAAATTATGTATCAAAGAAGATACTATCATTTTCATTTGCAGCATAGCATATCGTTGGCCTATAATTTAATATTTGTTTATATAATTTGTATATATAAAAGAGTACAGCTTATAAAATTATAGCTTACCGATACAATTACGTGGCCCAGCACTGAATGGTATATATGAGTAAGGGTGACGATTTTGGGTCCTTTCGGGTAAAAATCTATCCGGATCAAATACCTCTGGATTTGGCCAATAATTGGGATCTGTGTGGACTCCGTTAATATCAATATTCAGGACGGTGTTAGCAGGTATTACATATGATTCTGAAAAGCATATTATAAAATAAAATTTATAAATAATAATTAAAAACATCATAAGAAAATTTAAATTGAGTATCTATTTAATACAATGCAGGAATCAGTGTCTACAAAATTTGTTTAATAAAAAAATGTAATAATTATTTTAATTTCCTGAATAATATTGTTCTTTTTTTAAATATTCTATGCTGTTATATGTATATAGTAGTTTTATATTTGGAATGTTTTATTTTGGAAATATAAGCATTATTAATAAAAACATAGAAATTTTTGAATTTTTTAAATGGAAATCTTGCTTAGTTCTTATATATCTATATACAAAGCTACGTCTAATAGCAATATTTTCGAAACATTACTTTGCTATCTAAGATATTGAATAATATATTTAGAAATAAAATAAATTTATAAATAACAATAAGAGTTTGGTTTAACGTACGTAATTTTACGTCTTCTCCACATACGCGTGATATAAAAAATATGACACTATGCAAGCGCAAAGCTTCTTTTATGCATCTTTCTAAATATGTTAGTTCATGCAAAAATTTCATAGTTAATTGATTTTTATTCTCTTGCATAGCAATATCGACTTCGGTTCTGACACGATCCTGTAACATTAATCATTAAAAATACGTTTCTTATTTAAATGTATTTATATATGTATACAAATCAATTGCATACGTGTATGTGTGTTTTTTTTATATGTTGATACATAGGAAAGTGAATTGTGTACACGCACGCACGCACGCATACACACACACACACACACACACACGTGCGCGCGCTTAAAGACATTTGAAACGTTTAATATTGATACAGTTTTAATAAATAATTCCTGGAATTAGTGAATTAACTAATTTTTTTGTCTAAGGGTGACAGTTTACATTTGACGATAAATACCTGAATGTCCTTGTGTTCAGCTAATAATGCCAAAATGAAGCTTAAACTTGATGCTGTAGTATCGTGGCCCTATATAATCATATTATAAACATTTATATATCAAATATTATATTTAAATATATCACGAGAAATTACAAATGTATACCCCGAACATAACAGTGTCAACTTCCTGTCTAATCTCTAAATCAGTCATGAGACCTTCACGAGATGCCGCTATGAGAAGATCTAACATTGCAAGCCCCTTCCTTCGCGCTAAATCGAAATATGTAAGCATGATATTTTTAGATTTTCGTTTTGATCGTAAAATATAATTTATAATATCATATCAAATTTAATAAATATCTTCTGATTATATTACGCACTTCCAATCAATTTTGCGTCATCTCCTTCTACTGATGTATCATTATCAAAGTTTTTCAAATATTGACCATTAGTTCGTTCATGATAAAGTTTTCTTTCGGCAATAATCTATATATAAATACAACATTAATATTTTGTCTACGATTTACATAAATATGTTGTCAACATTTATGATTTATCTTGCAATATTTCTTTATATAAAGTCATTATTATAACTTTCTGAAATAGATAATATTTAAATGCCATATTAAGTAGTATTTTAACGTACTTGTTCAGTAAATCCATGCAATATTTTTAGAATCTTCGCTTGCTCTCTACCTTTTGGCGTCAATGAGAATATCCAATCAAAGTGCAGCCATTGTCTTGCTGTTCTAATAATTACAATACAGTTTTTAAATAATAGATATGCTATTTTAAATAGATTGTTTTTGTAAAAGCTTCCTTCAATTTCTCTATATACATTTTACAATTAGAAATATTTTAATAACTATTTAAAGTATTATATAACTATTTAAATAACTATTTAAAATATTTTAATAACTATATAAAAATAAATTTAGAACAATAATAAAATTATAAAGACATATGTAAAATTGTACATGCACAATAACTTTTCTAACTATTCCATCTTACTAAAAAATATATTTGTCTTTACACTGAATTGTGCATTATTTTTTCTCGTTATACTCTAGCATTTAAAATTTGAAAGGCTTTAAGCAGTATATATTTTTAATTAAACAATTGAACTGATTATAATTTATTATAATCATAAATTAATAACGTGTTATGTGTAAATTTCTAATTATTATGACGTTTTACATTAAATATTATTTATCTTGATATGATAAAATATTAAGATATAAATACGTTAAGATAGAATGAGAAATATTATGCCTATAAATTACCTATAAACAATAAGCTCGCTCATTCGATGAATTGCTTTTCGATACTGTTGCTGGAACTCACCAAGCTCTTTTAGAGAAGTGCCCATAGCAGATTCTGCAAACGTGTTTGTGAGAATATTGCGATAACATTTCATACACACACACACGCACGCGCACGCACGCGCACACACACACACACACACACACACACACACACACACACACACACACACACACACAGATTTAATTTTTCGCCGGCGGACGCAGGCTCTCGCGAGACCCCCGAATTTATAGAATTGTTTATTTTTTTCAACTGTGAAGAAAATGAATAAATGGATATTGTTTCTATGATAAATATGTATTTTTATTTCACCTTCTACATATTTGAAAGAATTTACTAGTTATTATAATAAAAATCACTTTTTAAACGTTTTAAAACACTATCATTTTTTAATCTCATTTGACCCTGCATTCGCTGTGCGTGCGTTGATACGATATCCGCTGTTTTCGAAGATTAATTACATCACAATATCGATACCCAAATACATAACACTGTATCAAGCGACAAGTAATTTTTGCAGTCGTAGATATTTTTGGAATACATACACATTCACACATACCTATATAGTATGTATGTAGGTATACTTCAAGAATACTACGACTGCAAAAATTATTGTACATATTGCTAAATATCGATATTTTGAATTAAAGAAAGTTATATTTTATTTTATATTAAATTCTGTGTAGGTGTGAATTTGTATTCATTTATTATTAAGAAAATTTAGTATAATTTAGTAATACCACATATTGCATTCAGCGTGTATTCACTAATAAATGATAAATCTTTTACAACTGTGCTTTCTGCATTTTTCAAGGACTTTATCATATTTTTGCTTTCTTTCTCCAAAATCTCTACAAATCGTTGCAGTATATTAAAATGAAATGTAGGAGTTAATATCTTTCGCTGTGAAT